TAAACAAGACTCTACTAGACACGGCTCGCAGACTCCCTAGGATAGAATTGCTCTAATGATACTTTTGTCACGACCCAAATCGATGGGCTGCGATGGGCACCCGGTACCTTACTCAAACGAGTATCAACGTAACATATATTTCTTATCGTACTATCATGGCTAAATGGGACAAAAGGGCCTTCATGAGATAACCAAAATAAAACATAAGGGAAAATAGACATAGGACGACCTAACATGATATAAAAACTTATACATATAACATACGAACCTATAAGGCCGACATGATTATTTGTAAACTCAAAACATAGGCCGACAAAGTCATACACGTATCCATATACCTGACATCTGTCTAAAAGCCTCTAACATTACATAAACATCATAAAGGTCGGGACAGGGCCCCGCTATACCAGTCAATACATGTCCAAATCATACTGACCAAATAGGAACTCTGGAGCAAGTGGAGTGCACCGACACCTTCCACTGAGTTGATAGCCTACTAGGAGGATTGTCAACCTGTCTATCGGGACCTACAGGCATGAAACGCAGCGTTCCCAGACAAAAGGGACGTCAATACAAATAAAGTACCGAGTATGTAAGGCATGAAAGCAGTATATAAAAGACATGAAAGAAACATGGAGTAAAGTACTCAACCTGTAAGTCTAAATAGCTCTGTGAATCATGAAACATTTATAATGTCATGCATATGTGTATAAATGTCATACCATGCACAGGTATATGCATACATAACATCATCAAGCCTCTAAGGGCATCCTATCATATCATCTCGGCCTCTGTGGGCAAAATCATCAACATATACCAGCTGATCAGGTGGTGGTGCGTATATAACGCCATAACTTTTTTCCATACCCCATATACATATAATATACGCGTATGTAACGCCATCTGGTCATGGGTCAATATACATGTATAAATGAATGCAATGCACAATGAAGTAAGTCAATAAGATCTCTCAGAATGTTATGAGACCCATGAACAGATGATATGATAGTAGGACATATGGGGAATAAAAAATATAGGCAACCCTAGTACTTCTAAGAATAGAATCATTTGTGAAAGTTGCATGCTTGCTTGTTTCATTGTATCATATGGATCATGCCAAAAGGAAAAAAAGGATAGACTTAACATACCTTAAGTCATCAATTCAACTCAACAACAAGCTCATGACAACTAGCGCGCCAACCCTATAACAAAGAAATACATGTACAACTTAGATAACGCTAGTATACCACGTATCTCAAATGATAACTCAATTCTAAAATAAAACGGGCAACATTTCCCCTGATTTTACTGCTCCCTCAATCCTACTATAGGCGATACAACAACATAATACAACCAGCAACTCAAAAACAATCTAACTACAATTTGAGACCTTTAATACAACAAAAAATCCAAACATACCGTAACACACCCAATCAACAAGTTATCAATTAGCCTGAAATTGCAACGACAAGCAATCAAACCACTACCCTACCACATGTGGCATTTCTGCACGTCCTCTATCCTTCCTAACTCCATAAATCAGCAACACAATAGGCCAATATGAGTGGTCTACAAAACAGTCCACTAAAAATGAAATAAATCAAACTCACAACTTCCGATTACTGTCCCGTAAGTTTTAACTATTAGGAAATGAATTTATCAACCTTCCTTGATATTTAAAATCTTAAATACAGGAAGTAGATTTTTTCTTAACTATGAAGTACATTCCAAAACTCAAATTACAAAGAGAAAGAGAGACGATATAATGATACTTACGTTGTAAGGATCGTTCTAATGTTATCGCTTTTCGATTTCGTACTCGAGATGTTAATCTTCTTTGAAACCCTAGAAGAGAGCTTAGGGATATGTTTAGGGATGTTATCTGGTCTTTTTCTATGAAAAAATAAAGATAAAGACGGCCTCATACCTATATATATCAACTTTGGAAAAGTTAAAAGAGGTGCTAGCTTGACACCCTAGCATTGGCCCATCTTCCGACGCTTATATCTTTTTATTCGGATGTTGTATGAACGAACGGTTAAAACCATTGGAAAGTGCATTCCAAAACCTTCAATTTGGTATATAACACGTCCCAAAAAACCTCATATAACATGCAAAATATATTGCTCAAAAAGCTTCAGTGACACACTTGCTTGTCACCTATGCAGCCTGCACAGTCTTGCAAAACTGCAAATATCTATCTACTCCGATGTCCTATCAATAAAAAGTTTAATGTGTTAGAAACTAGACTCGTAGATATTCAATTTGGTACGTTGATCATCCTGTAATTCCAAGTATACTGGGATAAAAGCTCCGCTACATTTGACCTAATTTTCAGCATATTTATGAATGTAACTTGTGATGACTTTTACCAAATTTTGTTCCACAACTCGCTTGACTTCAAAACGTAACACAAGACTATCATAAGCCTAAAATAACGCATAACATAACCTCCCTATCATGTTAAGAATGCTAGTATCACCCCAAAAGTACATGTTATAACATTCCCAACTTGTCGACATTCGACGAAACTTATTTTCTTCAATTTATTTAGCTTCTAGGCCTTTCAACCCTCTTGGTACTTGTTATCCATGATCATAAAAATTTATAACTTCTAAGGTAATATGATTAACTTACTTTATATGCTTCCAATATAATTTCATTTCTGAGCTTATATCATTTGACTTACAACGGACTCTCACATACGAAAACATGGAGTGTAACATTGGACATGCGCAAATGCGAAGATGTTGTCGCATTTGCGAGATCTGGGAGGATCAGACAGGGCACTTTTGCGAGCAATGATTCACTTTTGTAAATATTGTAATTACAAGCAAGAGTTTGTAATTGAGATATCTGCAGCTGGGTAAAAATTGGAAGACTTGGCTTATTTTACACTATTTTTGAGATCTCGAATCTGTATAGGTGATTTTTGGAGAGAAATTTCTTCTCAACTTCATAGATTAGTAACTTTAACTTGTCATTCAATTTCCATTATTTTTTCATGAATTTTCTATCAAATCTAAGATTCATAGAGTAAAAATTAGGGTTTTGGGTAGAAACTAGACTTTATAAAATTGAGATTTAGACCTCAAATTGATGTCGGATTTTAAAATAAATTACATATTTGGGCTCGATGGTGAATGAGTAATCGGGATTTGGTCTTAATTTCAAATTTCGACCACGTAGTCTCGGATTGACTTTTGATGGCTTTTTCAATTATGTTAAATATCGAACCCTTTTCATTCGAGGGTAGTTTTTGAATCTTGTTTTGACTTGTTTGAACAATAATTGACTAGATACGGATAGTTTGGAGGCTTGTTCTAAAGAAAAAGTCGTGTTGGATTGTTGATCTTGTTCCAGAAAGAGGTAATTGTCTTGGTTAACCTTGATTTGAAGGAAATAGGGTATAAGAGACTCCATTTTCTATGTGATCTACGTGTTGGGGGCGGTGTATATGTAAGGTGATGAGTGTGTATGCGTTGGCCATGGGATAAGCATGTGGGTAGTATTAGCCGTATTTGTGCCATGTTACTTTATGTATTATGTCTGCCATGCTTTCGATAGATTGTATTATTTTTGATTTCTCGCATTCATGCTATTTACTATGTGAGATTAAAGAGATATTAGGCATTGAGATCGTTGAATTGTTGATTTGGTTGTTAGTACTAAAAGTAATTTCTCATATGACGAGTCGTGTTCTAATATTATATTTGATATTGAATGCTTCCCACCTTGCCTGGTATTGTGTTGTAAGTGATGTTTGCTGAGGAAGAGTGAAATGCACGAATAGTGTTGTCATACTTCTGAGAAAGAGTGATTGTGCACGAAGGGTGTTTCCATGCTTTATTCATATATTGATATCATTACTTGCTATTATATTATGATGTGAGGATGAGAGTAAAAGCACGAAGGGTGATGCCGTGCCATTTGTTGGTTTTGTTGTTCCTTAATTTAATATTCAGATTGTGGACATGGCTTTGTGGCTTCATTATTTACTTTTGAAAGGTTGTTTAGAGATGTTGTAAAACTACGAGTTGTGGCTTACTCAGTGACGCTTTACTTTATTTTCCAATTTTGAGCCCCTTTACTTGTGTACTTGTTATCCCTTTCACTTGTTGTTATTCTGTTATTATACTTGATACTTTACCTGTTATTTTGTTACTTCTTGATATATAACTGCACATGTTTATTGTAGGTGTCTTGTCTTAGCCTCGTCACTACCTCGTCGGGGTTAGGCTCGATACTTACTGATTGGGTCGGTTGTACTCATATTACATTTCTCCATTTCTTGTGCAGATCTAGACATTAGTACCAGCGGAATCCCGAGAGGTGCTTAGCAAATACCAGTCAGGTAATTCGAGGTAGAGCTGCATTCCATTTGCAAGCTTTAGAGTCATCTTCCTATTTCTACTACTGTTTCTACTTTCCTGACAGTATTATATTTCCTTCAAAACAATGTATTTAGTAAACTCTAGTAGCTCATGTACTTGTGACTCCACTTCTTGGTATGGCTGAACGATAGTGTTGATCTTAGACTTATCATGTATACTTTCGAGCTGCTTTTACACTATATTATTATCTTGTTGTAAGTTGTTAATTGCAGTTCGTTCGTATCTTTCAGTTGTGCATTGGCTTGCCTGGCAAGCGGTGTTAGGTGCAATCATGGCCCCAATTGGTTGGGATTTTGGGTCGTAACAGAAAATAAGAAAATAAAGAAAATAGCTTGACAAAAAATGAATGGAATGAAAAAGAGAAAAAAAGGAAAAAAACAAAAACGAAAAGAAAAGAAGGAAACAGAAAAAAAGACAACAAGAAAAAGATAGAAAAAGGAAAAAAGAAGAGGAAATAGAGATTAGATGGCTGATGTAGGAGTTGGGCACTAAAATAGGTATAATGGTAATTATTTAATGAGTAGGATTATTAATAGGTAGAGTAAGGGTAATTATTTTGACTTCTATATGTATTTGTGAATTTATCCCATTAATAAACCTGATAAATTAATGGACAATAAGGAAATTTTCGCATAAAGGAATATGTTCTCACAAAATTATAAATCAGATTGCAAAATTTTAGAGCCTCTTAAAAGGCTCAAATGATCTCATAGCAAACCATTTATCTCTTGTTCTCAAGAAGAGGCTCTTCAAGATTCTCTTGTATCCTTCTTGAGCTAGAAATGTCCTCACTGGACTTCTTAGGTGCTTGTCCTTGTTTACTTTGGCCTCCCTGAGAAATCCAATACTAAACGTTAGCCATTATAAGAAAGCAGTTTCTGTCCACAATAAAAGGCAAAACGTCACACTCATAAAAAACGAAACATAGTATTTTCCCTCTCTTATCATCATTACAACTCTAATAACAATGTAACTGGAAGAGTATCAAAGAGAACAGTGCTACAGTTCGTCGCAGTAATTAATACAACTAATAAAGCATACAAATTCTGAGTGTTATAAAGCATCTCAAAATTATTCCACTCAGGATTTGTATGAACCCTTAGTATGTGCCACAATTTATTGTGGGCACAAATCTGCGACGCAAGTTTGAGAATTTCCGGCTTCTGCCCCTCACCGATTTGTCCACTTCACAAAGACTTTTACATGATAGTGGTAAAATAGGCCAATAACTACTTGAGAATGAGAGGTATACAACAGTCGTAAAACTATTTGCGTATACCATGTGATTGAATAAGGGTACACAGACAGCTCTTTGCCCATGCAGTGGAGATGTTTAAATAATATTTACGATCAGATGATGTCAGAATGTGATTCCAGATTTGCGCAATTCAATTTCGTGCCTGTAGAAATAATTTACATGGATTCTTGACTATCAAGAATTTTACATCTATCAGGACAGTCGTATAAATATATCCATAATGTGTACTTACAGCTGCCTTTTGGGCTGTCAGCCTCCGGATTGATGGAGCTCGTGCTACTGATGAAGCAGCTGCTGCTGCTGCCACACGAATCCTGTAAAAATAGGAGGATTTTTACAATCTGTTCTTCAATAGCAATAATACAGATAAGGTGAAATTAAGGTTACTGATTCTCAAGCACCTTTTATGTACATCAACATACTCATCGGTCTCATCCACAATTTCCTCCTGCACCAGCGACAAATTTCTAAAATGTAAGGTCCATTCGTTATAGACAACTGTTTGAGAGAGTTAGAAATCCATAACCCCTAAGAGTTACCTGTAGCAATTCTTCGAATACATCTTCCAAGGTGATAATACCTATAACTTCAGCATCCTCAATATTCTCTAATGAATGAGCCACACTATTTGTCACTGCAACACCAGATGTTGGTGTGCTTATCGCTGCTGGCACTGTAGCCTTCTCAATATCAACGACGACATAATCTGATTTTCCATCCTTTTTCATCAGAAGAGGAGCAGTTTCACTGGTGACTTCATTGTCTTCAGACTTCTGTTCCTCAACTACTGAGGGAGGCTTTTTGCTTTTCCCTTTAGCCTTCACCACTGCAGCCATATGACTGCTACCTTTCTGAAACTCATTTAGTATGTCATATAGCGGCATATCAGCAGGAACACTGGTAAGATGTATGACAAAGAATGATGTTAGGATATTAGTTCATACATGCAAAAGACAGCCCGTGGACAATTAAAAATTAATACCGTGGAATTCTGCGAATAGAAACTGCACTAACTGGTGTCTCTGTTTCGGCCCGTACTGTCAGAAGACTTTTTACCTAACATTAGTTTCAAAACGATCACTTGAAAAAAGTAGCAAGATTACAATAAAAAGTTGCCCAGATGGTGAGAATTCAGAACTCACAAGTAGAAGTCCAATAACATTCTTTGGATTGCCAGAGTAGACAGGAACACGACTATGACCGCGAGCAAGAATTTTTCCCATTGCCTCCCTGCAGTCAGGAAAAGATAATGTGTAAGTCGGCCACTAGAAATCATAATCTAGATAACATACCTGATTTGAAGTCAAGTACTGAATAGTTTCTTTTACTTTATTCTGCATACAACATTTTGAGAAGTAAAAAAAAAAAAAAAAAAGCNCTCAAGGATAGCTAACCATGGCGTGCTAGGAATCCACAAACATTTGCCTGAAGAGAATTCTTTCTTTTAAAAAAGAAAATCTATCGTGAAGGTATATTTTTCTTTTTGATAACGGGGAAGCCAGTGACACACGGTCCGAAACTTGGTGGATAATGGGCCTACCCCTTTACCCTTCTTCACTTAGCTTTTGTCTACGCAGGGTTTGAACCCCCGATAAGCACCTAACTCACACATCATGTATTACGCTCTTACCACCAAACCAAAGCCCTGGGGTAGGAGTGGCAAACAGGCGAGTCGGGTCGAAAACGGGTAATGAAAAAACGGATAAATTATCCGACCCGACCCATATTTAATACGGATAAAAAACGGTTAACCAGTGGATAATATGGATAACCATATTTAATACGGATAACCAACGGTTAACCAGTGGATATAATTATCCATGACTTCTTGCATATACTTTTGGGAGAATTCTTAGCCTCCCTAACTTGAGGAACCCCCAATTTGAGGCTTTACAAATGTAAAAGTTAGACCCATTGGTTATCCATTGGTTATCCATTTTCTAAATGGATAATATGGTTCTTATCCATGTTTGACCCTTTTTTAAAAAGTTCATTATCCAACCCATTTTTTAGTGGATAATATGGGTGGTTAACTGTTTTCTTTGAACCATTTTGCCACTCCTACCCTGGGGCATCATCGAGGTAGAACATAAAGCTCAAAGAGAAAGAGCATTCATTTCTTCTGAAAGAAACATCTAATGTTCAATTGGCAAAAGCTCCTTTTAAGTTTCATTTAAATACCCAGCAGCCAACCCAAAGGAAGAGGAAAAAACTAGTCTTGTTGAGCATTATGGCTATGCATAGTTCACCAAATATCACATGCATGTAGGGGCAAAGAAAAGTATCCTTTAATCATTAGAACTGATCAAACATTTTTGAGAAGTTAACTATCAATTCAAGTATGACAACCACACACGGACACTTGGTCAGCATTGGTACTCGTAAAGTGCTTGACCTCAGTAAGTCCAGCCACATCGTAAGAGTGTAAAGGGTGTGCACAAAACGTAGAAAAGTGGAACATATCTTAAAGAAGAATCTCTTGTCTTGAAACTAAGGTGGTGTTTTTTTTCTTCTGAAGTTTCTCAAAACATCAGAAAAATTGCAACAACTATCGGGGTATCAAGCTATTGAGCTATACTATGAAAGTATGGGAGAGGGTGGTGGAGCTGAGAGTAAGGAGGATTGTGTCTATTTCTGAGAACCAATTCGGATTTATACCGGGGCATTCGACTACAACAGCTATGCACCTTGATAGGAGGTTGATGAAGCAGTATAAGGAGAGGAAGCGAGATTTACATATGGTGTTTATCGACTTAGAGAAGGCTTACAATAACTTGCCGAGGGAGGCGTTGTGGAGATATTTGGAGGCTAGAGGCATTCCCTGTTGTGATGGAGTTGCATCATGGGTCAGCCCTTAGCGCATTCATGTTTGCCGTGGCGATCGACGCGCTGATGTGGCACATTCAAGGGGAGGTGCCATGGTGCATATTATTTACGGATCACATTGTACTGATTGATGAGACGCGACTCGGGGTTAACGAGAGGTTGGAGATTTGAAGGCAGACCCTGGAGTCTAAAGGTTTCAAGTTGAGCAGGACCAAAACTGAATACTTGGAGTGCAAGTTCAGTGGCGTGACTCAGGAAGTGGATGGCGACGTGTGGCTGGATTTCCAAGTCATTCTTAGGAGAGAAAGTTTCAAGTACCTTGGGTCTATTATACACGGGAATTGGGAGATCGACGAGGTTGTCGCACACTGTATTGGGCGGGATAGATGAATGGAGGCTCGCACTTCCGCTGTTCTGTGTGATAAGAATGTGCCACATAAACTTAAAGGTAAGTTTTATAAAGCGGTGGTCAGACCGATTATGTTGTATGGGGCAAAGCATTGACCAGTCAAGAACTCCCATGTCCAGAAGATGAAGGTGGTCGAGATGAGGATGTTGAGATGGAAGTGTGGGCATACCAGGTTAGATAGAGTTAGAAATGAAGTAATCCGGGACAAGGTGGGCGTGTCCCCTATCAAGGACAAGATGCGAGAGGCGAGATTTAGATGGTTCGGGCATGTGAAGAGGAGAGACACTGATGCTCCGGTAATGAGGTGTGAGAGGCTGGCGTTAGAGGGCCACCAGAGAGGCAGAGACAAGCCGAAGAGTATTGGGGAGAGGTGATTAGGCAAGATATGGCGCTACTCCAACCGACTGGGGATATGACTATGGATAGGAAGGTGTGGAGGTTGAGTATAAAAGTAAAGGGTTAGATAGCCGAGTGTTGTTCTTGTTTGTAGCAGTAACTTTGATATATCATTTAGTGTCCTTCGTATTTTTTCAGATCCTTAGACTTTTGTTATTACTTGGTGTTGCCTTTGTTTCGGTTTTCTGATTGCATTATTTAGTGTTAGTTTTGAACTTTCGCTTCGGTTGTCAGATTGATTTGCTTGTATTGCCCCTCCACTTTTTCCTTCCTAAGCCAAAGGTTTTCTAGAAACAGCCTCTCTGCCTTCTACAAGCAGGGAAAAGGTCTGCGTACACTCTACCTTCCCCAGACCCTACTTGTGGAACTACACTGGGTATGTTGTTGTCTCAAAACTTGAGTTCCTAGATTCAGTTGAGTTTTTGAAAAATATGTGTTTGGGCTTTGTTTTTCAAGATTCCAAATTCAGCTTTTCAAATCTTTCAAACACTAAAAAGCTAAGTACAAATGGTCACTCCCCTGCCTAATATAATCTTTTAAATACTGTTTATCATGTCATTTACCCACTGTCTTTTCTTTACCGATTCCTCCAGAAGAGATTTTTCATATTCTACTAATAGCATGTTTGGCCAAGCTTCTCCAAAGCCAAAAATACTTTTTTGTCAAAAAATACTTTTTTTTTCTAAGTTGAAGTATTTGCCCAAACTTTAAGAAGAAAAAAAATGCTCTAAATAGAAGCAGAAACAGTTTTGGAAAAGCAGAAAAAAGTAGTTTCTCTCCAAAAGCACCTTTTGAAAAGCATCTTTGAGAAAAATACACTTAGAAACACTTTTTAAAAGCTTGGCCAAACACTAATTGCTGCTCAGAAGTGCTTTTTAAATTAATTACCAAACACAAACTACTTCTCTCCACAAGTACTTTTGAGAAAAGCACTTCAAAAAATAAGCTGATATTTGAAGCTTGGTCAAACAGGCTATAACTTACTTGTGGATGTATGCATGTAGTCCTGAATACTTTTGGGGGGTGAACACCTACCCGAACAAAGAGGGTCAACAGTTCAACATTTAGGCCGTAAATTTAGAAACAAAAGAAAAATTGACCCAAGAAATGCTCTTCGAACCAAGCTAGATAGTCTCCTATCGCTAGAGTCTGGACCTCTTTTCATATTTCCTATTAGATATGGAAACAAATCATAAGGATTATTTCCAGTTGTAAGTTTTTATTTTTGAAAGATTTGGAAACTTCTGGAAATCTTGAAAGAAATGTTAACGTTTTGTGCAAATATTTCCAAAGAAAACAAATTGTTTAAAAACTTAGAGCCCGTTTGGCCATAAGAACTTTTTTACTTTTTTCGAAAATTTCAATTGTTTTTCAAACTCAGTGTTTGGCCAAAAATTTTCAATTTTCACGTGAAGATGAATTTTGGAATTTTTCGAAAATTTAAAAAATTCAAAAAGTTGTTTTTCAAAATTTTCACTCAGATCACTCACAAAAATTCAAAAATATCCCAAAATTATATTCATGTCCAAACACAACTCTAATTTTCAAATACCATTTTCGCTTGAAAAAAAAAATTATTTTTTCGAAATTTATAATTCTTATGTCCAAACGCCCTCTTAGTTTGCAAGATCAATTTTTGGAAAATTTCATAAAAAGTGCCACCTCATTTTTTGAGAACCAACCTTTGCATAATCTTGAAGAGCAGAAGACTTGGTTTGAATATTACAGAAACATTTCATACTAACAGCAATGTACTCACCAATCCAGCTTTGAAATGACATCCAATGAAAATGTTGACTCGATGGGTGTCATAGCCTCCTCAGCAGTCTATCAATAGCAAACAAAAAAGGAGATAAATAAAGAGAGAGAGGGAGAGAGAGAGACGCTCGTCATACCAACAAATTCCAGGTTACCAAATTTCAAAAGACCTCAGGTGAGAGAGAGTCTGGATAATACAGCAACAACCCAACAACTATGCCTCAGTCTTAAGAAGTTCTCTATATCTCCTAATGACATTAGTATCTCCAATAGGGTTAAATAACTCCTAAAAAGCATATGACCAAAAGTAAACCTTTTAACATGAATGAGATATATTCCCAACTAATTGGTACTGCACCGGACTTCAGCTATGTGTAAGTCCCAGCAAAAGAAGGGTGGAACAGGGACTGCCAGTATCATAGATGGTCAAAGCTAGTGAACCATGAATCTCAGGACATTAATCATTTTTGTTAAGCAAAAAGCTGATCAAAAGTCTCTTCTCATAAAGTCATTATGTCTATAGAAATTAAAACAACAGGGAAACAGGAGAATTTTAAGGGCCAAGCATTACTGACTCCTCAAACCTTAGGTCATCAGAATCTATGGCCTATGGGAACAGGCATGCAGGGTGAAAAGCATATCAAGGATGGCAGTATCATTATCACTACCTTCTCAGTTAAATCCAGTGCTCCACTAATGATTGTTGTCTCATCATGTGTAAGATCACCTCCCTTGCCAGCCTGAAGAAAATTCCAATTAACAAAACAAGGCTTCGGAAAATCTAAAGGAACTTACATTTATGTTAACGACTAGTTTGCAGACATATCAAAGCTGCAAAGTGAAGATACACAATGCAGACCTCTCGACTGTGGATAGAGACAAGGGCTTTTAACTGAGCTCGTCTAAATAGTACTTCATTATGTCCCAATACACAGTCTAGGATCTGCAAAGACACAACATCAAGTCAGAAGCTCTACTATTTCAAAGAACTGGCAAACCAAATTTTTGAAGAACCTAAAAGAACTTCACTTTAGTCGAGGGATCCAGAAAATAGAGAGGCACAAAAGCTCAGTTTAAATGTAGCTTGATAAAGAAAGATATAATTTCATTTCTTGATACAAGCCACCTCCAACTTATTAAATGGTGCGAGCGGAAAGCATCAACTTCGCTTCAGACAAACTCAATACCATTCAGATGACAATTGCTAGAGCATTGGCTAAATCAAAAGTGCAGAGGAAGAGGCAACTCGCAATAGGACTTTAGTACTTTTACTACTTGTTCAAACCATACGAGATTAGTTGCTAGGATCCTCCAAAAATGCAACCGCACCCGAGTCGGAACATCAAAAAATGCACTATTTTGGAGGATCCGAAACGGTTGTGGTGGCATTTTAGGATGATCTGAGCAACGTCATAGAAGTAGTATTAGAATAGTTATTTTGAAAAACATATGATATGGCAGTATATGGAACTTCTTCTAATATATTTTTTTCATTTCCCAAAATTGTCCAGCGACTCTTAAAAGCATCAGCAGTCTTAAAGACAAGTGAGCATCTGGTGATCCTCAAATAAAATACTTCACAAACATGTTCTTTCTGGTCTATCCAAAGTCCAACTGAAGAGGACTGCATTAGCTGAAAGTACCTTGGAGCAAGCACTTCATAGAAGTCGGAACATGATCTGAAGTTTCCATATTCAATTAGATAGTCAAGGCTGTTAATCTAGTATAAAAAACACCTCTATCTGCTAAATTCCGTCAATATTACGTTGATCAATGATAAAACATACACTTCTGGCTGCAAATAGTTTTGCTAAAAAATTTTTGTGTAAAAGCTGTACTATTTCTAATCAATGAGTTACAATATTTTGGTAAAATTGTAGTAACTGGCATCAGGGAAGGGAAGATAAGAAAAATGAATATTTACGATGGGACATGATATAATACCCATACGTATAGAGGCAAAAAAGATTCAACTAACTGAAAATATAACTCCACCAGAATAGGAAAAACTACATCAATACTGATTATCCAAAAGTTACACATATCTTGTCCTATTGGAAACCTACTTCTAAGAGAAGAACAATAAGTAAAAAGAATGTAAAGCATGATTAATTTATGAGTACGAGGAACATATTCTTTTTGATCCAAAGCCAGGCCAGCTAAGCTCCGAATGTCCATATTTTGTGACAAACAAATTCATAACTATTGCATGCTCTTCTTGAGACATTCTCAAAATCATTGGGAAGTGTTTTCCAATGACCTAGAGTAGAGTTAATTTCTGTACACAGGAAGGCTCTGAAAGCTAATTGAACCGTGTAGCAAGCCAACAACTGGGTACATCATTTAAAATGCCTCTAAACATGGTATACTCATTCTTTCCAAACCAAGTAGTTGAACACATAATATACTAGGAAGACGAAGGTTGTCAAAAGAATTAAGGTATCCAGGATGTTTGAATTAATGGCACTCCTTCGAGTCAAGAATGTATCACTTCAGCACTGTTTTTGCTTTTGGAGCCCCTTCCTTAGAGAACTCCAATGATTTTCAAGGCAAATATAATATAACATACTTTATCTTTAGGCTAATTACTTAAAGACTGCAGCGATTACCTTTCCGATGGGGTAAGAAATTGGGTAGCATATGATCATCAGAATACGAACAAGCCAAACAAAATTTGAACCTACTGCAAGTCCATATCTGGTGCATATTGCTTGAGGAATAACCTGAAAAACAAAAATAGCCGGAGGATCAGAGTATATTCATAGATCTTAAATGCTGAGATCCTGATTAAAGTCCAGTGGTGTAATTTACCTCTCCAAAAAACAAAACAAAAGTTACTGATAGTATAATGGCAACATATTGGTTGAAAAGCTTATCCAGGTATAGAGGCAGGGCCTGAAAATAGAAACAAGGAAAACGAAGTAAAGGTCAAACCCTCCTCAACTACAATACTCCAGTATATACTCCGCAGCTAATAAGTTATATAAAGACAGCATTTTCTCCATATTTTATCTAGGTAAG